CTCAAAGCCCTCCAAATGTACTCACTAGAAAGAAGACGAGAGAGATATCAAATAATATACACCTGGAAGATACTGGAGGGCCAAGTACCAAATCTACACAGTAAAATAACAACGTACTGGAGTGAACGACATGGAAGAAAATGTAGAATAGAACCAGTGAAGAGCAGAGGTGCCATAGGCACAATCAGAGAACACTGTATAAACATCAGAGGTCCGCGGTTGTTCAACGTCCTCCCAGCAAGCATAAGAAATATTGCCGGAACCACCGTGGACATTTTCAAGAGGAAACTAGATTTATTCCTCCAAGGAGTGCCGGACCAACCGGGCTGTGGTGGGTATGTGGGCCTGCGGGCCGCTCCAAGCAACAGCCTGGTGGACCAAACTCTCACAAGTCAAGCCTGGCCTCGGGCCGGGCTTGGGGAGTAGAAGAACTCCCAGAACCCCATCAACCAGGTATCAACCAGGTATGCGTGTGTTTATGCGTGTGTTTATGCGCGTGTGTGTGTGTGTGTGTGTGTGTGTGTGTGTGTGTGTGTGTGTGTGTATGTGTGCGTGTACGTGTGTGTATGTGTGTGTGTGTGTGTGTGTGTGTGTGTGTGTGTGTGTGTGTGTGTGTGTGTGTGTGTGTGTGTGTGTGTGTGTGCGTGCGCGCGTGCGCGCGTGCGTGTGTGCGTGTGTGCGTGCGCGCGTGCGCGCGTGCGTGCGTGCGTGCGTGTGTACGTGTGTGTGTCCGCGTGTGAGCGCACACGCGCGAGTGCATCCGGAAGATGAGTGTGTGAAGAAGGCGACCAGGTATATATTGCGTGCACGAGTGAAATAAAACCTCTGTATATGTGCTTACTCCCACTTTACCCTTACACACTCACTCACTCACCCTCCCTCACACTCGCTCACTCACTCACTCTTACTCACTGGCACCGCTTGTCCGCTTATTTACTTTAAGTCCCCCCCCCCATCCCCTCCCCCCCCTACACACACTAACCTCTCCCAAACGCTCCCCTAAATATACTAAACGACTTAAGATGTGTACACGGTCTTCTGAGAGAAGACGTCGGTGTTTATTGATACATTTTATTGATTTGATGTTGCTATGTTCGGTAAAATATATGGGGGGGGGGAGGGAAGAGCGCTTTGGCGGTTCTTGAAAGTTGTGTCGATTGCAGACAAAAATGTATGGAGGCTACAGTATGGAGGGCCACAGCATGGAGGCCATAGCATAGAGGGCCACAGCATGGAGGGCCACAGCATGGAGGGCCACAGCATGGAGGGCCACAGTATGGAGGGCCACAGCATGGAGGGCCACAGCATGGAGGGCTATAGTATGGAGGGTCACAGCATGGAGGCCACAGCATGGAGGCCATAGCATAGAGGGCCACAGCATGGAGGCCCTCTATGCTGTGGGCCTCCATTAATCTGCTGTGCAGATTAATGCTACAGTTTAAGTGTTAAACTATCAACTATCTATCGCTACCGGTTTGTTTATCATGTAAAATACCGGAGAAGACAATCAGAGGCTAATGGAACATCTAGAGAGGATTAACTCTAACATTAAAACCATAGTTTTAGATTGAGACTTTATTGATTGATTGATTGAGACTTTATTGATTGATTGATTGAGACTTTATTGATTGATTGATTGATTGAGACTTTATTTATTGAGACTTTATTGATTGATTGAGACTTTATTGATTGATTGAGACTATTGATTGATTGATTGAGACTTTATTGATTGATTGAGACTTTATTGATTGATTGAGACTTTATTGATTGATTGATTGAGACTTTATTGATTGATTGAGACTTTATTGATTGATTGATTGAGACTTTATTGATTGATTGATTGAGACTTTATTGATTGATTGAGACTTTATTGATTGATTGATTGAGACTTTATTGATTGATTGAGACTTTATTGATTGATTGATTGATTGAGACTTTATTGATTGATTGAGACTATTGATTGATTGATTGAGACTTTAGATTGAGACCCCGGCGCCAAGCTCGGGCTGGGCTTGGGGAGTAGAAGAACTCCCAGAACCCCATCAACCAGGTTGAGAAAGGCGCGCCCAACGAACCTGACCGAATCCCCAAAATAGGGAAAAAAATCAAGCTTAGGGAAATTGGGATTCGAGAGTAATCTGACAAATAGGAGACATAGAGACCATGTCGTTGCTCAGTCGACTAAGGCAGCGTCTGGGATGCTCTCGGACGTAGATTCGAACCCTCGTCACGGCCCTTGTGGATTTGTTCAGGAGACATAACTGAGAGAGGAGTGGCAAATGGCCAGCGAGGTCCTCTGTGGCTCGGTACTGGAACCACTATTGTTTCCATTTTTTAATACTTAATTCTTTTAATATTTACTTTTTAATACTTTAATTCTGCATGATGTAGGCTTGTTTACGTCCCTGCTTGCAGCTGCTACACTGATAAGAAGGGTATGTATGGATCGAGGAGGAGAAGGACATGGTAAAGTATCTTGTATGTAGTTATCATATCCTCTCGGGGATTCTTTTTTTTCTCTTCTCTAGAGGGTGTGAGATTTCATTTATCCTCGTAACTTAACCCTCTACGATCTAGCACTAATCTTGTTACAAGGTGGTAGGTGGGGTTGGGAGGGAATGTGGGCTTCATGGGGGAGTGTAAATGGGTTTGGGAGCGTGTCGACTAAATGGGTGAGTGTGGGTACTCACCTAGTTGTACTCACCTAGTTGTGCTTGCGGGGGTTGAGCTTTAGCTCTTTGGTCCCGCCTTTCAATCATCAATCCACTGGTACACAGGTTCCTGAGCCCATTGGGTTCTATCAAGTGGGCTGCGGGGAGTGTTTAAGTTACGTGGGAGATTGTAGGTGGGTTGCTGGGTGTAGGTGTATGTAGGGGGGCCGGGGGAGGGAGTGTCTCCGATAGGTTGGCGTGGGGGTGGGGGTAGGAAGGGGTGACCAGCGTTGGTGGTGGGGGTGGGGGTGGGGGTGGGGGGGTGGAAGCAGGGTTGGTAGGGTTGGGTGGGGTGTGGGCGGAGGTGTTGGGGGTGTTGGGGGAGAATCGGGTGGATTAAATGTGGGAGTAACAAGGAATATATATATGCTGAATAAGTCATGTAGCGGAATAGTCTACTTTTCAATCCTCGTGCGGGGCAGAAACGGTTGGGCACGTTTCCTTTTACCTAATGCCACTGTTCATCAAGAATCAGGGAGTTTAGTTGTTCTTACTTAGATACCTCAGCTGCCTTAGACTATACAGAATGTTACGTAATTTGTGTCAAGAGTGACACTATAAAAAACTCCCGTCTCTCAGGATGGTATGTCATTCAGGGTCATGTGACAAGTGACCTCCCACTGACGAATTTTGGGGTGCATTGTGAGGATATCCTCAAGAACACGAGAGGTAATAAAGTCTAATGCAAAGCTCCAGGTACCTCATGCCAACTGGTCTGAAAGGTCTAATAACTGGGCATTCGGTGATGTAGTGTGGGAGATCATGCCACAGTTCCTGCTCACAGAGTTTGCACCTGGAGTGCTCAGGATTGGGAGATCCGTCACCCGCAGCCACCTGCCACAGGTAACGGTAATCCAACCTGATCCTGGCAACCACTGTGTCGCACAGTCTGGTCCACGTCTTGTGCTGCCCATAAACACAGGTTTCCATATTTGAACAAATCGTAACTTGTCATGCCAGTGCTTTTAAGCATTTTTGGGAATCAGAAATTTCTCTCCCATTAGACCTTAAGTGTTCAGAGCAATTGTCTAAACAACAGAGATAGGGGATATCTTAGACAAGTTCATCTTCACCCTTGTTAGACATTGCAGTTAAATTAACGTGTGTCACCATGTCATCATGTCTGTCATCTGTCATGAGCAGATTATATATATATATATATATATATATATATATATATATATATATATATATATATATATATATATATATATATATATATATATATATATATATATATATATATATATATATATATACACGTCTATTAAACGCCAAATTAACGATGAAAACGTTGATTGAACGTCGAACCAGCGCCACTCTTAAAACACTGTGTTCAATGGCATGTTATGTCCAGTGGGATGTTGTGTCCAATGGGATGATGTATCCACTATGAGGTTGTGTCCGCTGAGAAGTTGTGTCCAATGGGATGCAGCGCCGCTCGTTCTGATTGTGACCGGACAACATATGACCAACAATAAAAAGGCTCACTTTATGATTCCATAAAAGTCCTGTAGGTTACAAGCCAATATAACGCGACATTAAATGGTGCACTTGACCTCAGATGACCTTATTAAGGAATGGAACTTGAATAACACTTTATTAAATCCCTCACCAACCCCGTGGTATTCAAATCCTCATGTTGTAAGTAATCTCATAAGTAATCTTAAGATTACTTACAAAAAAATCTCAGTGGCATTCGTGACCTCCCCCTCCCCTCTCCTTAAAAAAAAATAAATGGGCAAAACTGTCCTATATGGAAAGGAAGTTCTACTGTATAATTATACATGCATTCATACATACGTTTCAAATCTATACAACGAGGCCTTCTTTGAATATACATCCCGGAGATCTTGGCTTAGAAATACATAAAAATACACGAGAAACCACATATATACAACCTGTCCTCTCACTAAATACCGTATTATCATCACCATAACGACCCCCTAAACGTAACAATTGCGATGGTTAGCGACACTATTAAAGTATTTGGCTAGGCAAAAAACGGTTCAAATTTGACGTATTATGTCAAGTTATGAGAACGGATCGAACCACCGGGTATCCCAATCAAGGGAGACTTGAGGACAAGGGGGTTGGGGGGGTGGGGGGTGGGATTTAACACTTAAATAACAAGGTCATTAGCTCTGCCGAGTTGTTAGACGAGAGTGAGTACCTTGCCACGTCAAGGAATAGAGTACCTCCTCACGTCAAGGAACAGAGTGAGTACCTCCTCACGTCAAGGAACAGAGATGAGTGAGTACTCACGGTGGATGAATCGTCAGTACTCACCGTGGGTGTCGCAGACGGTGGTGTGGGCGGGGGGCGGCGAGGGCGACGCCCGGCCGCCCACTCCTGAGGGCGGCAGCAGGGCAGCTCCTGGCGAATCTGGGGTGACTGGGCGGTCTGTGGGTGGGAGGAGAGGGTGGTGAGATCCCCCCCATGTTGTGGGGAGGGGGTGTAATGGGGGGTGGCTGGGTGGGTGGGAGAAAATCCCCCCCCCCCCCGCCCACTAACCTGTGAGTGTGGCGTGGGAGGGAGAGTGGGTGTGAGAGTGTGGCATGAGATAAGGGATGTGACAGATAGATATGGGATATGACACTGAGACAGGGCTGTCATTCTGGGATATGACACAGGGACAGAACTGCTTTAGCCTTAAAGAGAACACAGCTGCTTGACTATGGCGTAGATGGAGGGGGGGGGGCATGACAGTGACACGGGGGGCATGACAGTGACACGGGGGGGCATGACAGTGACACGGGGGGGGCATGACAGTGACACGGGGGGCATGACAGTGACACGGGGGGGGCATGACAGTGACACGGGGGGCATGGCAGTGACACGGGGGCATGACAGTGACACGGGGGGGGCATGACAGTGACACGGGGGGGGCATGACAGTGACACGGGGGGCATGACAGTGACACGGGGGGGGCATGACAGTGACATGGGGGGCATGACAGTGACACGGGGGGCATGACAGTGACACGGGTGGCATGACAGTGACACGGTGCATGACAGTGACACGGGGGGGCATGACAGTGACACGGGGGGGGCATGACAGTGACACGGGGGGCATGACAGCGACACGGGGGGCATGACAGTGACACGGGGGGGCATGACAGTGACACGGGGGCATGACAGTGGCATGGAATATGTTATCCTTTTATTTTAAATCATTAATTATCTCTCACTCTTACCATCTCTTGAAGGACTACAGAAATAAAATGAAAAATGAAAAAAATAAATAAAATAAAATGGAAGCAGTTACAGGCTCCAGTTACTGTATTTCCACCAAGTTCCTCAACGAGTTCAAAGATCAACTAAGTTCCCTCACTAAGTTCACAATTAAGATCCCCTCACTAACTTCATAACTAAGTTCCCTCATTAAATTCATAACTAAGACCCCTCTCTAAGTTCACAACTAACATCCCTCAAAAAGATCACAACTAAGTTCCCTAACTAAGTTCACAATTAAGATCCCTCTTTACCGACTTCTCAACTAAGTTCCCCATCTAGTTCACATGTATATTCACCACCAATTTCACAATTAAGTTTCCACCAAGTTCAATGACAAAGTTCCCCACCAGCTTAGTCCCACCAACTTACCCCTCATATCCTCATATCCTCATAACCTCATATCCTCATAACCTCATATCCTCATATCCTCATATCCTCATAACCTCATCAACGTTCTATTATACATGAACAAGCGTTAATTACCTACATGTATTTCACCCACACAATCACCTAAACAATTATAAGAATCAATAGAGCATAAATAAGTCGACTAATAATTCCCAGCATTTTAGTATTAATAAAAAAAACAAAATATTATATAATTATCGATACCAATATTAGTATTAATAATAATAATAATAATAATCATATTGAAATAATATTAAAATATTATGTAATTAATATCAATATTAGGAACAATATACGAAATATTGGTAAAAGAATATTACCCCAAAACCAACAATAATAATATTAAAAATAGTAATTCTGGCCAAAATTAAACAATAAAAGTTAATAATAATAATGATACTGTATATATAATGAAAGCATTAATAATAATAATAATAATAATAATAATAAAGTATTAATAAAATCTTCTCACAGACACAATAACACAGAATAAAAAACCCACATTTGTGTATTTGTGAATTTGTATGTATTTTATATGTATTCTATATGTATTTTACACTAAGTCTTTCGCCCTCATCTGAGTGCTTTTGTCAAGGTCTGAGTGTGTGATTAGGATGAGACTTACATCCTAACGACTAATTGATACACAAGTACCAAATAAAACAAATATTGTGGATTCTTATCCAAAATAGCAAAAAATGTGGGGAAAAACTTTTTGCGGTAATGAAGTGACTCGAACCAGCGTTCGGGTGATTCCCAGACACCCGCCTTAACCCACTCAGCCACGACAGGACGACAATCCCACCAGCCCAGGAACTCTACTGAATTCACTAGGAGGTTTTGGAGGCTCGAACCAGTGGTGCCCAACCAGGATTTTACGGTAGGCCCGCCTACACTCTCTGGCCTATGGGTAATTTACCCTATGTGATCCTTCACATCATAAAAAAAAATCACACTGGCATGATATATAAATGAGAAATTATTTTCTCATATATCATGCTATTGTGATAATACTCTTATTTTAATATACTCTTATATTAATATTAATACACTTATATTAATACAATTTTAGATTAATATAATCTTAGATAAATATAATCTTCCATTCTATTAATATTGGTATAATATTACCTTCTATATTATATATATTATATATAATATAGAAGGATATATAGATATTAATATATTAATATTATCTATATATATAGATAATATTAATATTATCTATATATAATAATATCTTCTATTAATATTGGTATAATATTAATATAAGAATGATGAAATAAAATAATAAATCATATTGTACTAAAAAATACAAAAAGTAAGGAGAAGAATAACACTCAAGTGTTCAGGGAGAGTTGCTAAAGCCTGATCTCTGAATACCCTTTATATTTTAAGCAGTAATAAATAAATCAAAATAAAAACTAATGATAATAATAATAAAAAAATATTGAAAACATTTATACGACAAATAATGAGAATAATAAATAAATAAAGAATAATAATACCGGTGATTAAACGAATTAAAAAAAAATAAAAATAATATTTAATCTGTTAAAATGGTATAAAAACTCTATAGAGAAAATCGCGTCACTGTAAAACTTAGATTAAATATTAAATTGAATATTAAAAACAAATTCACGGTGAGTTAGTTATGACGGGTACAGGACAACGTTTGTTATGGGTACAGGACAACGTTTGTTATGGGTACAGGACAACGTTTGTTATGGGGACAGGAGAACGTTTGTTATGGGGTTAGAAACCCCATAACAAACGGGCGAGTTTAAACAGGACGGGCTGTTTAAACAGGTTTAAACATAGTTTGGAGGACGGGCTGTTTAAACAGCCCGTCCTCCAAACAAAGATCCAAAAGTGATTCCATGCACCCGCCAAACCCCCTGTTTATGAATGAAAAACGATTTACACACGACTCACAACTCATTTCGTCCGAACACTTCCGGAACAAATGCTTCACTGACGAATTTTGTTCGAACCACAACGCTATAAATGCTTCACCCACGTACTACAAATACAAATATTCGCCAACAGAACCCAACCACCTAACCTATGCCTATATATGCACAATATGCTAATATATCATAATATTAATTTATATTTGAGAAAATTCTTCTTTTGAATGAACAGCATGTTAAAATTTATGAATGCGTCTGTGGGGTCGACCGCTGGTTGTAATGGACTTGAGTCGAGGACGGGTTGGTTTAAAGTCACTATTAAATAACTCTGATATATCAACCCGTCCTCTTAAAAGAACGTCACATTTTGACGCCTTCTCTGCCTAGGTCAAAAAATTGTCGTACTAGAAAATGGAAGCGGCTCGCGAAAGTGACGTACTGTCCCGTTTTCTGTTTTGGGTCCTCTGGTAGGTTAGGAGAGGACACATTAATACGACAGTTTCTTGACGTTGGGAAACCTTAGGAGGATGAGTCTGGATATATATATTTATGCAAATATAAATATACTCTATGTAGATAAACAAAAGGTTAAATATGTAATTACTCGTTCGGATAACTGGAAGCATTCTTAATGATCTTCTACCATTAAGTGACTGAGGTAAGAGGTAATTACCCTATTAAGATTAGCTGATATTAAGATAATCACAATCATTTAACACCAGTCAGCAGAGAGGTAACCAAGCAGAAAATTAACAAAATAACAAATCTGATAGGTAATGTTATATACATTTTTTTTTACACACACACATATATATTTATTTGTAAATAAACCTTCAAGAGCAGCAGGATAGTGAGTTAACTGGCCACCAACCTATTGTATCCATCCTGTGTGTGGTGGTTGGTGGTGGTGGTGTTGGGTGGTGATGGTGGTGGTGGTGGTGGTGGGAGCCTTGTAAGAAGGCTCGCCACAAGCCCTCGGGGGACCTCTCCTCCAGCAGGGACGCCGTCGTGTCCTTCCCAAGACCTCCACCTCCCATTGACAGCATCTTCAGGGGCGCCTCGCTCGACATGAGATCCATAGTCATGGTGAAATCTGTGAAGAAATTCCTTTTTTTTCCGCTGTGGGCGCTTCGATTTCCTTCGGTATTAGGCGTTCTTGATCTGGAGGTGTATATAATCACCAGCTAACAGGTAGCCAACCCATTAGCAATCATCATTTGTTGTAAGTCACCGGAGGGTTAAGTCAAACTAAGCAAGGAGGCGTGTGAGCGGCACTGATTACGGCCAGGATGCTGCCACCGTCAGACGAGCACCGCCCAATTTGTCGACTGATGTACAGCATCATCTGCCTTGCTTCTCTCGACACCCCGCTGGTTGAGCTGCCAGTTGCTCCCCGGCGGGCTCAACTTTAATTCCCATAATTCCACTAACTCGCTATACCACCGTGACTCTCAACTGTATTCACGACGAATTTGAGCAGAATAAGGTGTCTTATAATTAATATGACACTAGTCGCATATCTAAAGTATTATAATATCATTATCACAAAGAACGGCGACAACTACCTAATCGACTCTGATTGGCCAGGAAAACTAGGAGATGGTGCGGCCAGATTGGTAGTCCCACACAAGGGGCGGTACGACAGATTACTTACCAGATACCCCTGGCAGCTTAAACTACTGCTCCAATATTACAAACTTTATCTCCTAAATTAAACATTACCTCAATGATATCAATATTGTCAATAAAAAACGCTCTATAAAGACATAATATATTACTTACAAATTGATATGAAGTAAAAGAAAATCCACTTAAAATAGCAGTACCCGGCAACTGAGGCAGCAGGGGGCGGAGCGAGAGATAAGTGGTGTTATTGGCATTTTTACATCCCCCGTTTGGAATGCAATTTGGGAAGGAACAGGCCAATTTGGTAAGCCGCCTATCCGCTGTATGCCTAAGCGTCCGTGATGGAACAAAATGAGAGTGGGAAGGCCCGTCCTGAGGGGGGAAAAAAGGAAAGCCTAGGCCGTGGGGGTAGAAGAGTTTCCCCTAGATGAGTAGAAGATATTCCCCTAGAATGTTGTGTTAGGGAAAATATTTCGAGACTGGGGGATCCAGGTAGTCTTTTTTTTCTTATTTTGGTATTTAAAGAGGTAAGGGAGAGCCCAGAATGGTGCGGTGTGTTGACGGAAATGCTGAGCGCCGTGTTAGCTAAACTGGGAGCGCCGTCTTAGAGCTGAGAGGGCTGTCTTAGAGCTGAGAGCGCGGTCTTTGAGCTGTGAGCGCGGTCTTTAAGCTTGGAGCGCCATCTTAGAGCTGAGAGGGCCGTCTTAGAGCTGTGAGCGCGGTCTTAGAGCTGGGAAAGTCTTCTTAGAGCTGAGAATGCTGTCCTAAAGCTTAGAATGCCGTCTTAGAGCTGTGAGCGCGGTCTTAGAGCTGGGAAAGTCTTCTTAGAGCTTAGAAAGTCTTCTTTGAGCTTAGAATGCCATCTTAGAGCCTGAAGCGCGGCTTAGAGCTGGCAGTGTCTTCTCCAGAACTAGGAACGCCATCTTAGAGCTGAGAATGCTGTCCTAGAGCTCGGAATGCCCTCTTAGAGCTGGAGGCGGCGCCTTAGAAGTGAGATTGACATTAACATAATCGATCCTTTACGCACCGGGTTTTATTTGGGCATGAGAAGAGGGCGAGAGAGATGGACAGAGCCGTTCGGAACGGTAAGGACGGGGGGAGGGGGTGGGGACGGAACGGACAGAAGAGGGGGGGGGGGATTGGACAGAGAGGACAGGACACAAACAGAAAACGAGACAGAAGGGGTTAGACTTATGACATAATGTAACCCCTAGAGTGTAGTCTACCCCCCATTAAGTGACTGTCACCTTCTGTCATCTTCTGTCACCTTCTGTCACCTTTACGAGCTAAAACTGTGACGAGGCTGTTGGTGGGTATGCTAACAAACGTATACAAGCAACGGTAACGCCATTTGTCAGTTGCTTAGCTGAACGAATACTTAGGGTTCAATGCCTGACTGCTGCTCCTCACAGGATGGGTATGGGTATCTACCACCACTCACAGGATGGGTATGAGTATCTACCACCACTCACAGGATGGGTATGAGTATCTACCACCACTCACAGGATGGGTATGGGTATCTACCCAATCTACCACCACTCACAGGATGTATATGGGTATCAACCACCACTCACACGATGGGTATGGGTATCTACCACCACTCACAGGATGGGTATGAGTATCTACCACCACTCACAGGATGGGTATGGGTATCTACTACCATTCACAGGATGGGTATGGGTATCTACTACCATTCACAGGATGGGTATGGGTATCTACCACCACTCACACGATGGGTATGGGTATCTACCACCACTCACAGGATGGGTATGGGTATCTACCACCACTCACAGGATGGGTATGGGTATCTACCACCACCCACAGGATGGGTATGGGTATCTACCACCACTCACACGATGGGTATACGCGTCTACTTCAGGTATAGTTAAGTATTCATTATCTATACAACCGCCAAGTTATACAACAATTTATGTGTACCTATAACTATGGTAAGATAATCTACCAGGATAACTATGGTAAGATAATCTACCAGGATAACTATGGTAAGATAATCTACCAAGATAACTATGGTAAGATAATGTACCAAGATAACTATGGTAAGATAATCTACCAGGATAGCTATGGTAAGATAATCTACCAGGATAGCTATGGTAAGATAATCTACCAGGATAACTATGGTAAGATAATCTACCAGGATAACTATGGTAAGATAATCTACCAGGATAGCTGTGGTAAGATAATCTACCAGGATAACTATGGTAAGATAATCTACCAAGATAGCTATGGTAAGATAATCTACCAGGATAGCTATGGTAAGATAATCTACCAGGATAGCTATGGTAAGATAATCTACCAGGATAGCTATGGTAAGATAATCTACCAAGATAACTATGGTAAGATAATCTACCAAGATAACTATGGTAAGATAATCTACCAGGATAACTATGGTAAGATAATCTACCAGGATAGCTATGGTAAGATAATCTACCAAGATAACTATGGTAAGATAATCTACCAGGATAACTATGGTAAGATAATCTACCAGGATAGCTATGGTAAGATAATCTACCAAGATAACTATGGTAAGATAATCTACCAGGATAACTATGGTAAGATAATCTACCAGGATAGCTATGGTAAGATAATCTACCAAGATAACTATGGTAAGATAATCTACCAGGATAACTATGGTAAGATAATCTACCAGGATAACTATGGTAAGATAATCTACCAGGATAACTATGGTAAGATAATCTACCAGGATAACTATGGTAAGATAATCTACCAGGATAACTATGGTAAGATAATCTACCAGGATAACTATGGTAAGATAATCTACCAGGATAACTATGGTAAGATAATCTACCAGGATAACTATGGTAAGATAATCTACCAAGATAACTATGGTAAGATAATGTACCAAGATAACTATGGTAAGATAATCTACCAGGATAACTATGGTAAGATAATCTACCAGGATAACTATGGTAAGATAATCTACCAAGATAACTATGGTAAGATAATGTACCAAGATAACTATGGTAAGATAATCTACCAGGATAACTATGGTAAGATAATCTACCAGGTTAACTATGGTAAGATAATCTACCAGGTTAACTATGGTAAGACAATCTACCAGGTTAACTATGGTAAGATAATCTACCAAGATAACTATGGTAAGATAATCTACCAGGATAACTATGGTAAGATAATCTACCAGGATAACTATGGTAAGATAATCTACAAGGATAGCTGTGGTAAGATAATGTACAAGGATAGCTGTGGTAAGATAATGACATGATAATCAGGGATAGAGTGATCATCACTCCACTCGATAGAAGTCATGAGACGTTAATGGAATGCATTATACAGTGATGTGGTGGAGGCTGACGCCATACACAAGTTCAAATGTAGATATAATACAGCCCAATAAGGCTCAGGAATCTGTATACACACCGGTTGATTGGCAGTTGAGAGGCGGGACCAAAGAGCCGGAGCTCAACTCTCCCCCCCCCCCCCCCGCAAGAGCAACTGAGTACACTTGATAGACGACGCACGTGAAATAGAGTCTATCACAAGTGTGTCCTTGGTGGTATGTCATTTTGTAAATAAAAAAATGACATTGCCCTGTTTACTAAAGCACCCCCTCACGGCTCTGTCTAGAATAATACACTGAAATTTGATATACAAAAATAGAAAACGGACGCATCAAATGATGCTTTAAATCATAGCAGTTCACACACACACACACACACACACACACACACACACACACACACACACACACACACACACACACACACACACACACACACACACACACACACACGATTCAGGGGAATCGACCGGGTAAACAAGGATGAACTTTTCAACACTGGTGGGACGCGAACAAGGGGACACAGGTGGAAGCTGAGTACCCAAATGAGCCACAGAGACGTTAGAAAGAACTTTTTCAGTGTCAGAGTAGTTAGCAAATGGAATGCATTAGGAAGTGATGTGGTGGAGGCTGACTCCATTCACAGTTTCAAATGTAGATATGATAGAGCCCAATAGGCTCAGGAATCTGTACACCAGTTGATTGACGGTTGAGAGGCGGGACCAAAGAGCCAGAGCTCAACCCCCGCAAGCACAATTAGGTGAGTACAATTAGGTGAGTACACACACACACACACATTTTGGTGGGACGCGAACAAGGGGACACAGGTGGAAGCTGAGTACCCAAATGAGCCACAGAGACGTTAGAAAGAACTTTTTCAGTGTCAGAGTAGTTAGCAAATGGAATGCATTAGGAAGTGATGTGGTGGAGGCTGACTCCATTCACAGTTTCAAATGTAGATATGATAGAGCCCAATAGGCTCAGGAATCTGTACACCAGTTGATTGACGGTTGAGAGGCGGGACCAAAGAGCCAGAGCTCAACCCCCGCAAGCACAATTAGGTGAGTACAATTAGGTGAGTACACACACACACATACACACACACACACACATTCATTCACGTTTTCTGTGACTGGGTTGATGGGTTAGGTTAAGGTTCGATGGCTTCAGTACGCCATTCTCTGTCCGTTGTGGAGAGTGGTTTGCTGGACCAGTTTGGCTGTTACGCTGTTGATGAGAGGTTATCTTGAGATGATTTCAGGGCTTTTTTAGTGTCCCCGCGGCCCGGTCCTCGACCAGGCCTCCACCCCCAGGAAGCAGCCCATGACAGCTGACTAACACCCAGGTACCTATTATACTAC